TTATCACGGAGCAGTATTTCATTAATTTCTGTCTGCAGGCAAACCAGCGTGATTACTCTAAATCAATAATTTATTTCGTTCAGCCAATATGATATGGTAAAAATATTGTCATCGGCCACCATGTTCTTTACATCCAATTTCTGCAAACGCCAACGTATGTCTCCAAGTCAAAAGAAAACGGTTCCTTCTTTCTTTTTTCTTTATTTAGATTTTGTAGATATGCTCATTTGCTTAAAAGTGGTTCAACCAGTGACACCGAAAATATCGTATTTGAATTTGAAACAAAAGCAGCTAATTACCTTTTGGCGTTCATATGAATTATACCCAGAATGACTTTCGTGATTATTGTAGGCAAAGTCTAATGGTTACAAATTATTTGGATGTTTGTAAAGTATTATAATAAGTTTTTATTAAATTTAAGCGCTTTTTTGTTGTTGTTGCTGCTAATTAAGCTATTTTTATTCTAATAATTAAAAAGGAAGATACGTTTTCTGTCTCCGAATTTAGAAAGGATTTCTTGCGTACTTACAGAGATAATATAAATGCGTGTTTTTAGGATGTATAATAGTATCCGGAACTAAAGTGATGTTGAGACTAAGTAGAAAAGCTTTTAAGCAATACATTTTGGCGAAGTGACGTGTGTTATGTTCAGCGGCTTTAGGTTGAAATGAAAGACAAAACTCAGTAAAAGTAAAATACATTGGTATTTTTAGGATAAGAGATGTAATAAATTACCTTATCAGATACGACAATCAAAGACCATGAAGTGTTTGTGTTATATATATGATGATGGACTCTCCCGTCGGTTTCGACGTATGAGGTTCCGACAACTTTGTTTATTTAACCTTGTGTGTGAGTCGCAAGATAACACACATAAGTTATTTTGACGTGAATTAAGTTGTCAGAAACCCACACATGCTTTGATTATAGTGGTGAAGACTTGTGTAGCACCATCCACACTTCTTGGAACTGCTGATAACATGACTTCGGTGCAAAAGTTTGCCACGGACACCATGAACAAAAGACCTCGGGTTTTTCATCAGAGTGTCCTTCTCCTAGATGCCTGTCTTAACAAAGACTGAGGGGGGCATCTCTCCCAGTGGTTTATCCGCGCCTCCAGACACCAACCTGGGTACTTCTACGTCCCGGCGCAATATATATATATATATATATATATATATATATATATATATATATATATATATATATATTAGTAACATTGCTGTGTGTTGGATTTTAAACATATACAGGGTTCGATGAATAAATTGTCGCCATATTATATTTTTAATTTTGTTTGTTTGTGTCGACTGCACAATGTAGCTGAGCACTGCTTGTAAGAAAAAGAACGCCATGACGCAATTCACTTCACCAGAAATTTGGAAACGCCATACTGTACTGATTGGCATTCGCACCGAAAGCTCCAATACGATCATTGCAGAGTGTTTAGGTGTCAATTGCAGAGTATTCGGAAAGAGTTCGATGAGTAGGAAGGTGCGGTAGCTCGGAAAACTAACCCTGACCGTCCTGATAAGAAAAAATAAATCCAAGTCATGATTTAGAACAATCTCTCCAAGTCAATCAGGTCCATAGTCAGTGACACATGAATGCTTGAGTTTCTTATCAGGCAGATAGTGGATGAAGACATTCGATATTTCTCATACATGATGAGAAAGGTCCAATTTTTATCTCAAGCCATGAAGGACCATAAGATGGACCGCGCTACGAAGCTTTTGAACAAACTCACGCATCCCATCTAACTGAACATACTTTGTTGTTTCTCAGACGAGAAAAAAATTCTGCCAGGATAAGCTGAGCACACAAAACAACCGTTGGCTTGATATGTCCCCAAAAGTTGTACGGTGGGGGGGGTGCTGAAAAACAAGATATCCAGTCAAAATCATGATCACTACTGATGAAGACGTTATGCCACTATTCATTTTCCCACAAGGTCTCAGAGGCCTGCATCAAGTGCTTTGAGGAGGTAGTTCTGCCCTATGTCAAGAGGGTGTCTACTGGAAGACCCTGTGTCTGGAAACAGGACTCTGTACCATGCCACGCAACCAGTCATGGCTGTCAAACACTTTCTGCGACCATATTGAAGTCGTCTGGAGGCCGTGGTTGAAGCCAATGTCGATTTTACTGAATAAATTTACTCTTTAGTAATTCAAAATATTTCGTGTAATTTTGCTAAATATATCTGTTAAAAGATGTCAGGGTTATTTTTTGCATATTGTAGACACGGCACCCATATATATATATATATATATATATATATATATATATATATATATATATATATATATGTTTGTGTGTGTGTGATAAAATATAGTTTTAATATATGCTATGTTTATCAGGGATATAGTGCATGCAATGATAAAAGTGGACATTGAGGTCCAACACCTGGCGGTATTTTTTAGCTAAACTATTGAAATATGCTGGTCAGTAGTGCATTGTTTTTTGGGGGAGTTGGGGGTTATAGGATGATGTTTCCTAATTTTTCCATCATATTTTGGCATTTTTTTTTTTTTTGGGGGTGGTAATTTTCCATATGTTTAGAAACAGTATCAACCAACAACGATAAATCAAAAAACTGTAAACTCTGTCTGGAGGTGAAGACAGCTATAATTACCTTCCCAGACCAATAGTAATTAATAAATAAACGATCAGAACTTATCTCTATAGACACGAAAACAAATTTTTTACTACGCTACTTAAAATCGAACACTAAGAACAAACAGAAAATGAAAACAAATAAATAGATAAAAGTAAAATAAAAAAATAAATAAAAGTAAAATAAATTAATCCAAATCAATAAGTACATAAATAAAATAAATAATAAACAATTTAACAACATACCAACGCACACATAAACACAAGAAAACGCGATAATAATAACAATCAACAAATAATAAAAAAGAAATCAATAATAACGTTAACAAACAACACTGTAAAATAAGCACAAAGCAACATTCGAATTCAAAATTATTTCCACTCAATAGCCTCTAGAATAATTTGGATCAAATCCGTTACAGACCACCCAATAACCATTAGAATAATACAATAGACATCTCCATGATGCACCACTGGCCAGCATATATAAATAGTCGAGCCAAAGACTGCGTTTAAGTATAAAACAGACTACTGCTGCTGGGTGTTGAACTCAATGTCTACGTATATATATATATATATATATATATATATATATATATATATATATAAGCAGACTGAGATAAAATGCATAAAATTATCAACACACATAATAACTATATTTTAAGAAATTTCTATGGGATAAACAATACATCCATTATTAAACCCTCCTGTAATTGTAGATATAAAGATAATTGTCCATTACAAGACAAATGCAGATCTACTAGGGTTATATATCAACCAAAGAAAATATGAAAACTTAGTGTTTACATTGGAATTTATATTCATAGGCACTCTTTTACCAATGCTAAATTAAAACACCAAACAATTGGCAATTGAAGGAGAAATGTTTGGACCCACAGATAGATTGGAAGATTATAGCTTCTGCACATGCTCCTAATAGTCTTAACCATAGGTGTAACTTATGTTTAGAAGAAAAAATAGAATAAAATACAATAATCAACGCCAACTATTGAATCAAATGAATGAATTATTATTAATCTGTCGACATAAAAACAAATACAAATTTCCATAATATAGTTTTTACTTTATTAACTACTATATTTCTCTAACTCTTCAAATGTCGAATGTATAACTAATTCGAATTTCTATATTTACATTTTTATACCATATTAATTATATCTTATTTTTGTCCCCTGTTCTAAGAACTCTCTTTTATTTTATCACTTACACCTCATTATTTATATATTAATGGTTACTTTTACATATAACTTTGTATTTTTAAGTGTAACGTTATATTTTTAAATATAACTTGTTTTTGATTTAATTATCTTTTAAAGTTATTTTTTTTATTTTTTTAATATATAATTTATTTTACCTTATTATATTTTTATTTATATAACCTATGGATTTTATACTAAATACATTTTTTAAATATTTTAATATTTTTTAATATTTTTAATTTTAATATAAATTATCTAAATATGATTTATTCTTAATTTATTTAAATATATTTTCTTTTTAAATATAACTGGTCTTTGTAAGAGTATTTTTAAGTATGATTTTCATTATTGAACATAACCCTATCTATATAATTTAAGGTTTTTAAAAAACCTCTTTTTGTGGCTCTGTTTTAATATTTTATATTACTAGGATCCACTTGGATTATATACCAACGCATTTATTACCTTTTACTATCTATCTATCTATATTCCTCTCTATCTATCTATCTATATATATATATATATATATATATATATATATATATATATATATATATATATATATATATATATATATATTGCAAATACAATGAGAACGCATCAAATATAAATTCAAACGTTCATAACATTAATTTAAAATAGAGCTCAATACAAAAGTAGAGCGATAATTCTTTATTATGTTATAACACTCGAACATACATATTTCCGCTTCATAATAGAAGAGTAGAAATACTCAAGATAAATAACTTCTCAGAAGAAAATAATGAAAAAAAAGATCAAGATAAATATGGGGACGATATATATATATATATATATATATATATATATATATATATATATATGTATGTATGTTGTTGTCTGTTTGATTTTAAATATTTCTTTTTGTGTTCGTGTAAAAATTCAGATATGAAAAAATATATCTGGAAAAATTTTATTTTTCAAATATCCCCTTTCTTAAAGGAAATACTCCTTTACAAGGCAAAGATACATTCAAAAATTAAAAGAAAACTATTAACACAAGTATCTCTGCCGCCCTCTCTTTTTATATGGATGTAAGCGTAGCGTGTAAATGTGTGTGCTTATGTGTGTGAAGAAAGCGGCGTGAATGGAAAGCCAAACAAAGAGTAATAAATAGAATGAGAAAAATAATTTGTATATCAAGAAATATCA